TAGTTCTTCAACGAACCCAAAACTTACAATTTTTAAAAATCTAATCGTTTAGCTACAATACTCGGTGTCGTATTTGGTGAACAACCCTGATAGATCTACAATGAAATTATTTTTAGGCATGTTCCAGTGAAGTAATGATGTTCAGGATGGCCAGGAGATACGACTATCGAACCGATTCCATTCTGTTCTCAAATAACCAGCCCTACTCCAGGGACAGTTACAATCTCGCAGGAATGGGAGATACCATCGAAGATCTCTTGCATTTTTGCAGGACGATGTACTCGATGAAAATTGACAATGCCGAATACGCTTTATTAACAGCCATTGTCATATTTTCAGGTAAGGGGATGAGAGAGTTAGGGTATATTCCGTTGCTTACCTTGGTTATGGTTTTTATGTTCCGTTTCTATCGGTTTCCTGAAATTTTCTTATTACGGAACACTGGTTTCTGAAAAATTCAATTAATAAACTGTCACCAAACTAACCAGCAGCGCGAGAAGGCTGGTTTTTCTGGGTTTCTTTGTCAATCAATGTAATTTATATGACAGAAAATGTAAAGCAAATATTGGAAGTTAGAGTGAAATTCTCTCAATGTACTAGTATCTAATGAAAATCACCTAACCTATATTACTAGAAATTACTAGATTATTACTAGAAAACAAACACAATAATGTTAAAATTGAACTTGTTTTAAATTAAAAAAAAAGTTGTAGAAAATCTTTGAAATAGATAATAATATAAAAATATGTCATTATATATTTTTTGCGCATTTCTTCCCATCAGAAGATTTTCAGATACAGAAGAATTGTTACTACACGAAATGTGAAAATATTCTGTTTTCAAGCAAATTTTACTCGATGATCAATTTATTTTATTTTATTGTAAACTTAATTTTCCGTAAATACTCTTGGGGAAAACTATGGCGAGTGCTACGACTATACTTTGCCTAATTAATAGACTACGACTATACAGCTACGTCAGTGGTCACGGGATATGAGAACAAGGTCATATTATAAAGTGGCAGAAAAAGAACAAAGGATTTGACAAGGAGTAAAATTACTAGTTTCCTTATACAGGGTGAGGCCTCTCATACGCCGCGGAAGCTCCAAGGAGAACGGTAGTTTATATCGAAATGAAATTTTGGTAGCGTATGTAGGTGAACTGAAAGCATTTTATAAAAATATATAGAATTATACAGGGTGTCTCCAAAAAAAGTTACACATCAAAGTTGTGTTTTTTCTAATGGAACACCCTATATATTAATTGATTTTTGGATTCTAGGAAAAAAATAAAGGTGAGTTATATTAAGAAAGCATATACCTAAAATCTAAGGATTTTGACATATTTCACATTTTGTGAAAATGAAGAGTAAATTTTAAATTTCGATAACAACTGTCTAAATTTTAGTTGACTTTGTATAACCTGATATTTAAATACAGTAACCATTGTATGTTAAACCAAATTGAAATTTGACCCGGAAAGTTATACAGGGTGAGACAAAATTAATATGGAACATTAATCACTTTTAAAAGCAAGTTACTCCTTTATTTTTAATGGAACATCCAGTATATTTTTTCGGTGTTCAATGGGGAATTTATATATCTTCAAAATATTATTAAGATTGCCTACCCCTCAGACAAATATTTTCCTAGATATTTTAATTTTTATGATTATGCGTCAATAGATATTTATTTGAAAAAATTTAGGTGGCTGTGTGATATACCTTTTATTAATTTAACAAAAATTAAAGATTGTAGAGTAAAATACTCAACGGTAATAAATAGATACACGTTTAAAACATATTTTAATTATTACAGAATTAAAACTAGATATAAACCTATAATTATATGACAAAAATTAGCTAGATGAAATTAAATACTCAAAATGCTTCCTTTCTTGTTAACTGCATGAAATGATTGTTTTTTCCAAAAGGATCTTTTCATTTTAAGATATATGTGGAGTTCTACCTCGAAAAGCAGCTACAATAATTTCTCTCATGTTGTCGACAATAGTTGGTCGAGTTTTGTAAACACTGTCTTTAACATATCCCCATAAAAAACCCAGACTAGATAAAATCAGGAGCAGAATACTTAAATTCTATTAATTGGTGAATGCACACTGCATTCACCATCTAATAGAATCAGATCAGTTCTTTCTGATGTAGGATAAATTTGCATTTTCGGCACATTTCTAAGAAATTTTTGTATTTTAACTGACACAAAATGATAACTAGTTGTTAAAGATAGACTAATTAGACAACTATGCTGAAGTAACGTCAGACATATCACAGCCACCTAGATTTTATCAAATATTAAAGATCAACTCAGTTCAAATAATGTAAATGAAAATAACTAGGAAAATCTTTGTTTGAGGGGTAGGCAACCTTAATAGTATTTTGAAGAGACATGAATTCTCCATTGAATATCAGAATAATATACTGGGATCCATTTAAAATAAAAAAGTAACATGCTTTTAAAGGTGACCAATGTTCAATATTAATTTTGTCTCACCCTGTATAACATTTTGGATCAAGTTTTAATTTGATTTAAAGTACAATAGTTAATTTAACTACATATTAGGCTATATCGGGTAAATTCCAATTTAGGTAGCTTTTATTGTAATTTAAAAATTGTTCTTTATTTCTAGAAAATTTTAAATATGTCAAAAACCTCACATTATAGTCATATACTTCTCTTATAAAACTCACCTTGATTTTTCTCCCAGAATACAAAAATCAATTAATATATAGGGTGTTCCATTACAAAAACACAACTTTGATATGTAACTTTTTTTGGGGACACCCTGTAAAACACTCTATATTTTTAAACAAGTGCTCTGAATTAACCTACATAATATATAAACAAAATTTAATTGCAATACAAACTGTCGTTCTCCTTGGAGCCTCGGCGACGTATGAGAGGCGCCACCCTGTACTATGATATTAAATCTTTACGATATTTGATACTCGACTAATGATTCTTTTTTCTTCATTTCTAGAACGACCATCGTTAATGGAGGGCTGGAAGGTGGAGAAGATCCAGGAGATCTACCTGGAGGCCTTGAGGGCGTACGTGGACAACCGGCGAAAGCCGCGCGCGCACGTCATCTTCGCGAAACTCGTCTCGGTCCTGACCGAGCTGCGGACGCTCGGCAACCAGAACTCCGAAATGTGTTTCTCGTTGAAGCTGAAAAACAAAAAGTTGCCGCCCTTCCTCGCCGAGATATGGGACGTGGACGTGAAGACATAGTGGAGGGAAAGGAGGCACCGGACCGGGCGAAGTACCGGCGCGGGTGGTGTTCCGTCTGTTCGCTGCTGCGTGGCGTTCTGCGCGAGAAAGTACGGCGGGCACCACCACCAGTTGGCTGTGAAATATTGTAAAATTATACGTTTTTTTTTAATAATAATAATAATACTATATTGACTAACTAAAGTTGGACGGCATCTAGACGAAACGTTGTTGCATTGAGCGTATATACAGAGTGGTCCGAACTGTATTCCGGAAACTTTATAAAAATAAGTAAAAATCTTCGTACAAATGTATGTCCTAAAACGCTTAGTTTCAGAGATACAGGGTATAGAAATTTTATTTTTATTTTGATTTTTTTTCTAGATAATTTCTGAAGTAACGTCAATATTTGTATGAAAATTGGTATCTACAAGTTTTTTATACGAGAAATTTGATTTTGACGTCAATATGGTTCGTATTTGTAGGGGGCGCCACGTACATGTGTTTTAACTGGTTTGAAGAGTAATAACTTTTCGTACGTACCTGTATAAAACTACTGAGTGAAAAATATACATTTCCGTAATTTTTTATATAAAAAATGTCTCCTGGTAAAAATCGCTACGACTAATGGTTCTCGAGATATTTAAAATGGAAATAGTCAATCCATGTCATTATTAGATATTACAATAAAATAAACATATGAGTAGATAGTTATTTGACTGAAATTATAAATTTTGGAATTTTTTATTTTTTTTAATTAATCATAATTTTGTCTTCTAAAATTGTCAAAATCAAATTTCTCGTGTCAAAAAACTCCCAAACACCATTTTTTATCCAAATATCGATGTTTGGTTTGGAAATAGATATAAGAAATTATTTGGAATAAATCGAAATAAAAATGAACCTTTACACCCCGTATCTCCAAAACTAAGGACATATATTTATACGTACTTTTCACTTATTTTTATCTGCAAAATATGCTGTCGAAGTTTCCGGAATACACTTCGGACCACTCTGTATAGTTTAGATAAACATGGGCTTTAAGTGGTTTAAAAAAACGCAGGAGCGAAATCAACGCTTCATACTTCTTTGGTAAGATGGCATTTATAGCGTTTGATCTGATCGTTAGACTAAAATGGTACCTTTTTATTCCAAGTAGTACTTTTTGTTCCTCTGGCGAGAAAATTTTACTTCAAAAATGCAACATTTTCAAATTCACCCTGTATTTCAGAAACCAAGGGGGCTAGGACAAATATGTGTGTAGCATCTTAAGTTTCATGTTTCATAAAACGTGGCTTATTGGTGTCAAAACCGCATAAATGACCTAAATACAAAATATTTTCATGGTGTCTGTCTGTCCGTCTGTAACACGATAACTCAAAAACCGCTAAACCAATTTTAACCAAATTTGGCACAAAAATACTATGGCACCCGAGAATTGGGCCATTATTTTTTGGTGGGGGTGGGGGGTTGGTAAGGGGGTATGGGAGGGGGTTAAAATTTTTAAAAAATCGTTACTCTAAAATTACAGTAGCTAGCGAAACACGGTTTTCAATTTAAGATTAGGAATAATATTGGCAACAAAATTTGTAATAACATCAAAATCAGTCAAAGTCGCAGGTTTTGAGATAAAAAAAATTGAAAAAAATCTTTTGCTTTGAAACTAAAAGAACTGCCTACCAACTATTTATTAACATATTTTAGTATGGGCGGCTATACGTGCCTCCCGGCGCCAATTTTTTGAACTAAGTTCAACGATAGGAAGTCATTCAGCAACCTATTAAAATTATAAACTTGGTTTATATCTGAACTGCGTCTTGAATATATTTAATTTTCATTTTTTTATAAATTTTCAGTGTGACCCTCAATTATTGACAATTTACACCTAAATTCGAAAATGCCACATTGACGAAGTTGTTTGAAGCATTTATTTTCGCGCCAGTGTTTTCAACCACTTCAACCCAGGTTTACTATAGTTTTATTTAGGACCGATTAAGTTTTAGCTCGATTTTTTCTTACTAAGATTTAAAACCTAATATGTAGATTTTATATAAGCCTTTTGAAACTCTGGAACTTTTATAAGAAACTTTAAAAACGAATACAAAAACTATTATATGCGATACAAGCTTACATTCAGAAATTGCTAAGACTGGGACTGGACTGAAATTACAAGGTGCCTTCACGAACAAAAAAGATCCACTCAGACTGAGGGCAGGTGCAACAAAGGAATTCGGAACGATATCGCAGAACGGAGAAATTCGGAAGAAGAGAAATTTTCAAAGTGCAATTTAGTTAATTTTACGAAACCCAAAAGTCTTCTTGTTGTCTCGAGATTTTTATCTACGTAGATGCACCGAGCGCGAAGAAAAAAGGAACCAAAACAAATCAGTAGTACACAATAAGGGCAGAATTACTTCAGAACGAGGTTCAGAGCAGCCGTCCGATTATATACTAACCGCTTAAAATATACACACACGTACAGACAGTGAATGTGAAGTGATTCCAGTTCGAACTAGACAGTGCTATCTCTAGGCGAGTGCCATTGATTCCGGGCATAGTCAGGCGTACATAATATTTAACCCATAAACAGACTATCCTGCCTCTAAACAAAACAAAATAAAAAAATATGAAAACTATCAATGTTCTATCTCTTTGAATGTGTAGTTGTCAGTCTACTCATTTTTATACTGTATAATTTTTTTTTCCGCATTAGTATTTTCTCGCTGCTAGTTTAAACAAACATTAAGTACATATATACATACATATTTTTCATCGATGTACATAAAACATATTTTCATAACTAAAAAACATAAATGAGACAGATTGTGTATTTTTGTTCCAAACGTTTCGGCCATACTTCATTCAAAACAAATTCTACTCATCAATATATAAGAAATAATGTTACTATTTCCAAAAAATCTTATAATTTTAAATGTGCCTTTAAAAATTTTAATATAAATTCTACGAAATCAATAATATTAACCACCTGGTTTTAAAATATGTGCAAGTCACCGTATATCTGAGTCAAAAAATATATATTTGCCTTAATACAGAGCATTTTAAATATAAATATATTTATTTAAGATTATAAATTTAAAGTATAAGTTTAAAAAAATAAAAATATTTATGTAGCTAGCTTTGTATTTTTTTAAATTTTCAAGTGAGAAAAAAAAATTATGTAGTAGGTAAAGTAAAATAATTTGAAGATTTTTTTGAAATGCATTAACGTTCTTAGTCAAATTATATTTTAATTTGTTTGTAGCATATACCGTATGACCGAAAAAAACGGCGTCAAGGACGGCTGGATTGATGACAATTTTGGCGCTGTCATTCTCCAGGACGTCATTTACTAAAAGTTGACATAAAACTTTTCAAAAATTAACACTAATTTTAGGAACATTAAAAAAGAGTAAAAGTAAGATTCCAGATGCACAATTCTATGTCCAAAATTATTTTTTTGTACAATTTTAAACTACACTATTTAAAAATTATTTTTAGGTTAGTTTAAATTAGGTTGCTGGGGATTCTGTTGCGATGCTTTGGACCCATTGCGATACCCATGGATTATTGTACCAAACCCTCCTCTCATTCTTTCTTTACGTTAAAGCACTTCCAGCTTTTTGCAAAGTTCCAAATGTTAGTCCCTCCAAAAAACCGTGCACTAGAGTTTTAAAGCGTCGGTTTTTCAATGCCGGGCAGTGTCACAGCAGGTGCTCTATGGTTTCTTCTTCCTTTCCGCATGCTCTGCAGTAGTCGTCATTGGAAATGTTCCATCTCACGAGGTTTATCCCCGTGGGGCAGTTTCCAGTGACGACACCTAGAATTATGCATATTAGCTTCTATTTATGCTCTAATAGTTGTTTAGTCTTTTTGTTATCTGCTACCGGCCACAGTCTTTGATCTGTAGCCGATC